TACTAGTAAAAAATAAAAATAATATATGTACAAAATATTTTTATACTACATATTAAAAATATACCTTTTAAAATATACACGGTGGCTCACGAAATGTCATACCGGTTAATTATCTCATTAAACCTATACTTATGAAGTATTGGTTTTTTAAAATTCTGTGAGTAAATACTGTACTCTCTCTCTCTCTTTTTGGAAATTGTGTTAAGTGTGAAATTGTATCGCGAGTCGGAAGTGGACATAGGTGAAGGCGCACACATTAGTTTCTGGCTGATAACGGACGGTTGACTTAAAATATTGAGTATAAAGTGAAATTGTTTTTCGCGGAAACAAAGAGGATGGCAGAGACTTGGAGATGTTTCTGCTCACGTCATGCAGTTGTGCCGTGCGTTATCTGATAAAGATATGTCGGAAGATAAAATACAAGTGCGCGTCTCCCAAAAGTTGTGAGGCAAAACGGTACTCATATTAAACGTTATACATTTGAGACAATTTTTCGGGTCAGTCTAATTAACTCTATACCAGTTCTATACTAATTTGATTAAAGATAAATATATTATACATAAAGAAAATGGTATGGCATCGTGTGTCATCCTGCATTTCACAAACTACTGATGTGTGTGCATTATACCTTCACCTTATTCCGACTCGTAATGCCACACCTAACAGAATTTCTACAAACTACAGAATTTCCTTACACGTTTAAAAACATCGATATTCTAATTTTAAGATAATTAAATGTGATACGAAACATTTACACTACTCTGTATTATATGTTCTCATATTTCAGATCTGTACATATTTTTGGTCTTTCTTTTTCATGTTTTTACTCTTCTAATTTTTCATGCTTATACTTAGTAACACATTTGTATTACTTCTGTCTGAAAGTTTTTTTTATATTTATGGCCAGTCACTTCAGCATGTAAGAAAGAAATAATTGCCAGGAGACTGTTTATTGTTTTATACGCTTTATTTAGTCGTAAATATTATAGATTTCATTTTGCGATTTTAGAACGGAAGGTGGTAATATAAGCTGAAAATGGTATGATTTTTTACTTTTTGTGCTATATCTACGAAACTATGCAGAAATTAGTAAAAGTCGTACAATAATTTTTTCTTCTCTATTTTCATATGAATAATTTAAAACCAAGCGGAACTCTGTGCGATAAATAGTTTCGAAGATACAGTTCGAAATTTCAGTAAAAAAGGTGAAAAATCGCTTGTAAATGTCAATTTTTTATATTTTGCCTCCGCAAATGTTTCCGACGTCTTGGACAAGGAAAGTGTATAGGACATTACTTGAAGTAGACTTTATGACGAAAAAATGCGACTACACACAGAAAAAGATTTCTTTGGATGTAATAAATTTTATCGCATCCAAATAAATTTGTTATTTGAAATGGTCCAAACAAACCAATGTTTGAATCAATAAGTGCGATTGTTTGAATTTGAAACAATGTATATCTTTGTCTTAAATACATTATTTGTTTGAACAGATAATATCTATCTTCAGTATTCACGTGATCATCTGTACGGCACAAACATAATTGATGTAGCACATAGCACTGCTCGTTTAATTCTGTTGTTAGACGTTATAATTCCATATTTTCGGTCAAAAAATGTAATGACTATTCTAAGAAAGCAATTATTTGCATGGAATAACCTAACCTCTATGAATATATTTTGCCATTTTCAAATAAATAATTTGTTTCATTGTTTGTATTCATTGTAACCAAATAATATATTATTTAATTGAAAGATATTACTTCAAATAATAATGTTATTTCTGTCAAGCAATAGAGATTTCTCAAATGAAACAAAATTTGTATTCAAACAAATAATATTTCGTACAAGCATATGTTCTTTCAATAAAACAAATTTTAGTCAAATAAATAGGAATACTAAATCCAAAGAAACCTTTTTCTCTGTGTATGAAGAGCTCTGCGATTAACAGAACCGGAGATATGAAGTCATGAAGTTGGATCTAAAATCGTTTTTTCTTAGATATCTTTTTAACTTGTAAATTGCTGTTTGCTTACAAAGAGATTTTTTTCTTGTACAAAGTAAGTGTCTTACACCTCTCTTCTTTAATTTCCTTCTACAAAATAAATATTGAACTATTTCATATTGATAATTATTGCATTTACTTGTTGACAAATTGGCAAATATTTCGCTCGAAAGACGACCTTGAACAATTTCTATAATTCTATTTTTTGTTTGTTTTCGAAAAAAAGTCTATATATGGTATACATACGTATAAGGGAGAGTTAACTAAGTCGTACAGACAATTAAATACCTCCATTGTATTTTCTAAACGAAACATGGTTTTTAAAGATAATGACACTAATGTGACGCTGGTAATGTGGGTTAAGAACTATCATTTTTGTTTTGTCTTCGAGTTGTCTGTTCGAGTCGAGTGACATTCAAAATTGATTTTGTTCAGTGTCTGATCTAAGTTTTGATACAATTTACCTGAGGTGTTATCAGTACAAGGTAGGTAATTGAATTATAGTGTCTTTCAGAGTTATAATTGATATTTAAACTCTTTTCGAGTATAGCATCAAATTAGCAAAATATTTGTAAGTTATGTTGCTATTGGCAAATTTATAAAAATAGAGGGAGTTGGGTAAATCGTACTTGTCGCTGGTCTTTATATTGTACCGGTACGATTTTCGCAAGTGACACGAGCAATATGTGAAGGTTACTATTATGATAAAAAAGGACCTAAAAAAATTTCTAACAACCAAAGGCGAAAAATTTTTTTAAAGTTCTGGCAATTCTATTGACAGTTCTGGGTAGCACCCTACGAGTTCTAACGAAAGTTATCAACGCTCGAAGCGCTAGGACCAGCGGTTTAAGAGATATCGCGATTTTTTCAATGTCTGTTTCACATCTGAGGGACAAAAAATTTTTTAACACTACGACAGTTCTGGATAGCACCCCAAGAGTTCACAAAAAATCGGCGAAAACTTATTCAAACACCCGATATAAGTTAACACAGCAATTTATAAGTTAAAAAGTGGATGTCTAATAAAAAACTATTTTAGACCCAACTCTACGACTTCATATCTCTGGCTTTGTTAATCGCAGAGAGCTCTTCATAGTCGTATTTTTTTTGTCATAAAGTTTACTTCAAACAATATTCTATGCACTTTCTTCATCCGAGACATCGGAAACGTTTGCAGAGGCAAAATATAAAAAATTGGCATTTACAAGCGATTTTTCACCTTTTTTACTGAAACTTTGAACCGCTGTATCTCCGAAATTATTTGTCGCACAGAGCTCTGCTTGATCCCAAATTATTCGTACGAAAATAGAGAAAAAAAAGTATTATACAACTTACTAATTTTCTTAAATTGTGAGAATTATTCAGATTATTGAAGAATTATTCAGATTTCAGAATTAATTAGTATTAAAGAATGAGTTGGATTGACAATACGATTACTTGAATCAATGATATAAAATGTTTTTCGAACGGGACAAATAACAATCAGTTTTAAAACTGTTCAAACAGCGTGCGATTATAGCTCAGCGTTAGCGTGTTAGGTTACCAACTCAGAGGTCTTGGGTTCGAATCCCATCGATACCGCATATGCGTTTTCGAAAATTGTAAAATATCCGATACATAATTGTAATTCATAAATTGTTTGTAGAACTGTACTATTCTATAACATAAGTCTATAAAATTAATAATAATAAATAAGGACTGTAATTAAAAATTAAAAAAATTTTTTTTTTCATTCAATTGCGTATGTTAAGTTAGCACCCCAATATTGAAATTCCATAGTTCTAATTAGAGTTCCCGTTTCCTTTTGTCCAGACGAAGAGTTCTCTATAATTTATAACAAGAGTTCCGCTTAATAACTATTTTTTAATAATTTTAAAAAAATGAGGTGCTAATTTCATATCGAAATTCGAGATCGAATAGTTCTGAGCGGCTCAATAGCTTTATTTAGTGAATACCTAGAGTTCCTGATGCATAAAAAAAATTTTTTTTAATCCCAAAAAAATTAAAAATTTTTGAAAAATCAATTTTTAGATACAATAGTTCTGATTAGAGTTCCTGCTTCCTTTTAACAAGACGAAGAGTTCTCTGTATTTTTTTAATGCGAGATTCACTTAATAACAATTTTTTAATAATTTTTAAAAAATGGGGTGCTAACTTCTCAGCGAAATTCGAGATCGAATAGTTCTGAGCGGCTCAATAGCTTCACTTAGTGAATACCTAGAGTTCCTGACACATAAAAAACAATTTTGACAAAAAAGAAAATTAAAAAACAAAAATAACCATTTTTTATCACTTCTTTAATTTCGCGTATCTTGAATATTGTTGGCCCAATCGCTTTGTCACCTGATACTTTTCGATAGAACTCATCGAGAACTCCCCAAAACGATAATCAGAACTCTTGGAACTTTTAAAAAATGTTTTAGGTAGTCGAAAATTTTCTAAGTCCCACGTCGAAAAATTTTTTAAAAGTTCCAAGAGTTCTGATTTTCAGCTTAGTTCCTACCCCATACTTCACCAACCCGTGCGCAGCCTAAATGCCGATCGTCACGCTGCGCGTGAGTTGGTGAAGTATGGAGCAGGAACCAAGTTGAAAATCTCGGCCGAAATGTGCAACTAAATTCCAGCTCTGACCTAAAGCATTAACCTTGTAAACGAAATAATCTCAATCTGCCGCAACCCGCAGTCTCACGACTAAACTAGCCACGGTAGTGTCGCTGTGCGTGCGTTAGCGCCGAGACATTACTAGTGTCTCTTGATAATTATTATTTGTACGTGCTTTATCTTGATAGATAGTAATTCAAATAGATTACTGATTTTAGTTATGATGTAAGTCGTATCATTTCTTGAATCTGTCACTATAAAGATTATTCATAAAAAATAGTAACAGTTTTATATTTAATTTTAGTGTTTTTAATTGTGGATATGATATAAACGATTACTCAAGTATTATAAATAAACATTTAAGATATTACATATTAAATAGAAGAGAGCTTACCGAGATGAAATGTTTCAGCAACGATCTGATTCAAACTGAATTGTTCGTCAGCAGTCCGTATCTCCTTCTGTCATCATGTTCAGACGAAGGTTACAAGCACGGTTGCCAGCTTTCTGGTTTTCTATCTGGAAGAACCGGAGATTCCGGCTTTTTGATCGCGAATTAAAAATTCTTTAAAACAAAGAAATTTTCAACTATCTGCTCAAAACTTTGATGACGTGTTTTGAGGTGAGTGGGTCAAACTTAAAATTTTTTCCGGCCTTTGAAAAGATATCTTCATTGGAAAAATCAAATTTGACTTTTTTTTTAGAGAATACTCTACAAGTTTTAATTTCGGCAAATTTTTGTACTTGTTATCAACCTTTAAGAGAATAGTGACATCTTCAACAGAAAAGCGGCAATCTTCAATGGAGATAATCTCAACTAACATAATCGAAAAGTGGCAACCATGGTTACAATGTCTCTTGCCCTCTCTTGTTTGCTATCTATATATCTCGACATTATTATGATAAAAACAAATTTTACAAGTATAATTAGACTATATATATGTAAAATATATATGTAAAAAAAACTTTCTCTACATTCTATTTTTTAAAATTAAAATGTTCGTCACTTAATAATTTGGTCTTAAATTTAATTTTTAAATAATTTTAGTATTAAATTTTAATATTTAAAAAATGCCATCTTTTATCATGCTGATGATTAATTAAATGTAATCTTATAACTTATAAACGTTGACTTATTTAGTAATATTTCTATTCTTAATTCTTTAACTTCTAACACTGAAGGAGGAAGGATAGAGAGGGGGGAGGGAGGGAAGGAGGGGGAGAAAGAGAGAGAGAAAATAATAATTTATGACACAAATTTAACTTAGCGTTATTGCACATGTGCATTTATTTATTATTAATCTTATTGCAGAATATATTCTGCGTATACGCTTTTCTGTCACTCATGTTTACTTACAATTAGTCTAATGATTAATCTTGCATTACAGACGTGTATACGTATATTGAAATATAATAGAGTAATGTGAAGTTATAATGTGACGAACGCGCAAAGTTGAATTTAAATTACTAGGGATGCACCGGATCGTAAAATTACCGGATATCGGAGATATCCGGACAGAATATAACATCGGGTATCTAGTATCTGCTCGAATATCCGAGCGATTTCTTCGAGTCGGATATTCAACCGAATTCGAAGAAAGATATCCAACCGAATTCGAAGAAAGTGTCTTCTAAAAAAAAACCTATACACTGAAAAAAAAAATTTGTTCAACGAACTAAACACATTTAGTCGTTTGCAAATTTGTTTAATGCAACAAAATTTTATTCAATCAAATTTCACCGCAGTTTGCTCAAGAAACTGTTCAATGTTGGTTAACGGAAATGATTCAACTATTTCATTTGGTTGACGAGACTATTATCATTTAGTAGTCTTAAAAATAAATCAGTTATCGGCGTCGTTATGTTTATTTGGAACACGGAGTCAACTAAATGCGTTTATATGAGACATATACCTGTATAAATTTTATTGTCTTAAATGCAAGGACTTGTTTGAATAAAATTATATCTTTATTATATGAAATAACGTTTTTATAAATTATATATATTTAAGACAACTCGATGTTTATTTGCACGTATTCGACTACAGCATTTTGTTGAGTCAAATAATTTTTTTTTCGTTGAACAAATTTTTTTTCAGTGTAGAGAAAAAGATTGTAATTTTGCAATAATGTATAACATATTACAACATCATAAATATGCATATTTCTAGAACATTTGTATATAAGAAAAAATCAAGAATTTAATGATATCAAATTTCAATCGAATATATTCCCGAATACTAATGATATCCGGTTATACGATCGTATAGTAAAAAATGTGCCGGATAATACCGGATACCGGATACTTTCCGGATATCCAGTGCATCCCTATAAATTATAATTAAAAATTATATCTTAAAAGAAAGAAAAAAGAGTAATTCTCTCTCCTCCTCTCCCTTCCTCGCCCTTGATCTCTATCTTTTTCTCCTTTCTTCCCTCCCTTCCTCCCTCTCTCTCCCTCTTCCTTTCTCTCTTTTGTTCTCCTTTCTCTTTTTCTCTTCTTCTCTCATTGATAATACTTATATCACAAATAAATCATATACCTTATAATTACTCTAAATATCATGTATTATAAATGTAATATCGGCAATTCTGTCACGCCAGCACTACCTTAAATTAGCATCTTAGATTGATTATATTTAAATGTCCAAATGTTTCGGCGCACAGTCACATTTGAGATAAAATTAAATTCATGAACCAAGAATATTATATTATTCGAAACATCTAACTTTGACCGATCCTAGGCGCTCTCTACTATATTTATATAACTACCTTAAATTGCTTGAATTTTTATAACATATCTGATGCAATATGCAATAAATGTATTGTATTGAATACATTCATTACACGCGTACACTCGCCAGCAGAAAGGTTGCGACATTTTTTGATGGACTTTGGAACTCAGTCTTACTTGTAAAGCGATTAAACGTAATTGGATAGACCCATAAGTAAAAATCAATCGCGCGGTGAGCAAGCCACATTCCGAAACCCATAAAAAAAAATTGTTGCAATCTTTCTGCTGCCGAGGGGGAGAGTGGTGTCGGTTGTAACAAAAAAAATATTTTTGCAGCTAACCAATTTATTATAAATAAGAAAAAATTGAAATTTTTTATGAAAACAAATATATCCTTTGGCATTAATTTCAACTTAATAGATATTTAAAAAAGTAACAAATTATAAATGATATTTATCATTAATGGCATCGCCGCAACTTGTTACAATTGACACCGCGGTGGTGTCAATTGTATCACCCCAGGGTGTTGATTGTAACACAAAAACATTTTGTGAATATATCCATATAAAAATCAACACTATGCTAATAAACAAATTATTTTCTATATAATTTTTGTTTTTACAGCAGAGAATTTGTTTTTAAAGCAATGAATTTATGTTTATAAAATAGAAAATTTGTGTAACCCTTTACACCATCGATGTGACAGATTTCATAACCTAACAACAGTTAACTTTAATGATTAATATCTCACACTGGGACTGAGCACAACATTTTACTGCCAGATTCTTTCGTTTCATGCAAAAACGCTTCGAATGTGAGCATAATTTCATTGAAATTGATGATGAGGAACGTCTTCTAAATAATTACTCATGTTACAATCGACACTACTGTGATTGTTACTTTTGCAACCACCACCGCTTGTTTCGATTTTATACCCATAAAACTTACATGTAAACAATAAATTGAATTGATATATACCTTACTGCAAAGCTTGATATTCATATATTCATATCACACAGTATCGTTGTATTACAAATTGTTGTGGAACGAGTTGCACTAAAATAATGGCGGGTAATAAAGTTTACAATCTAACCTTGATTTAACAAAAATAGGTGCTGCTACGTTTGCACTTGCGAATGGCCACTCAATTATTCGTCAATGACTTATGTCTGTTAACGGTATGCAACCGTGCATGCAGTTCAGCCTTTCGTCAATAGATACAGCTATTGCGGTCAATGTTACAATTGACCCTCTGTTTCAACCGACACCACTCTCCCACATCCCGTGTTCGATTCTCATAGGCATTATCACTCTTTGAATAAATTTTCTAATATTGTCGGATTTTTGCACCTTTGTCCAACTGATCTTTGTCCAACTATTAGATCGTAATTACACTACAGATTGCCGGTTACAGTCGCTGGTTGTCGCTTCTATTTTAGCCAATCATGATGCAGCGATTGCGGGTTAGCTGCAACTCGAAAATAGTGTGATAACGGTTTTACATCTTTTCTTTAAAAAATACAAGTTTTTTCATGAAACAAACACGTTAATTACTTATGTTTAATATTAAATTATGTTTGAATACATTATTGGTTATTAAAATAATTGTTTATAAAAGTAATAGATTACTTTGATCTTATTTTATTCATAATATTTATACAATAGTTCAAATAAAGAAATAATTGTCTTTGAACTCTCTCGTTAATATGAATAACGAGAAACTAAAATATAAATAGCGATGAAAAATTGGCGCGATGAGTGATATACATTATTTGCTCTGTGCAAATTCTTATCACCACTTATATTTTTAATTTACAATAATTCAATCAAAGTTTTATATAAAAATGCATTTCCCTTGAAAAATTTATTCACAAAATCGAAAATTTCGAATAGATATCTCTCTCCTTCTCCCCCCCTCCTCCCTCCTCCTCCTCCTCCTCTCTCTCTTTGTCTCCTCTGTGCAAGTATTGTATATGTATGTTTATGTATATACATATACACGTCACTTTTATTATTATTACATCCAATATATCAAAATATATACTTTTAAAATAAAATTTTTATGACCAAGTATTTTTAATCATATCGGCTGCTTTTTCAGCTACCATCATGATTCCGCCGATAGGATTTGAGTTTGGTACAATGGGAAAGATGGAAGCATCGGCGACGCGGATATTCGATATACCATGTATTCGAAGTTGCGAATCTATTACTGCACTTGGATCAGTACTTGGTCCCATCTTGCATGTTCCAGATTGATGATTTTCCGGTCCAGTTTTCGTTCTTATTTGACACATCCAGAAAGCGTCCGTGTCGAAATGGTAGCTAATAAAGAAAAAATTAGTAAAAAAACTAATAGAAATTCACGAAAAATGGTTCTTTTCGAAACTTTTGAAACATTACACGAAAATATTATAATTTATTTTTAATTGTTGGCATCTCAAAAATTATTAATATTTCAATGTTTTTGCTTAAAAAAAGTCCACTGTAAACTTATTAGAAAATTAGGATTAAAACTTGTATGAAAACTTGTCCTATACGAATTATTACTTACTTGCTACACAATGGACTTCTCACTTGTTCCAAACGAAGATCCCATTTCTTCATAGCAGGCGTATCAACAAGTTTGCTAACCTTTTTGATACCTTCGAGTAGAATCATCAAATCCTTCTCGTTTGTGAAGTAATTTGGATATATCAACGGCGGATCCAAAGGATTATTCGAGCGGAGTTTTAAG